CTTCACTTTCAAATTGAAATTTTCAATCGTTTATCATTTTATTATTATTTTGTTATGTGAAATTGTACCCTTCTATTTTAAAAACGAACAATGAAGTTTAACAGAAAACAACTGTCACATTGAGAATAGCCAACATTGTTGACTAAACACCAAGTAGGGATGCACAGGATTTCGGCCGGATTTGGAAAAGTTAAATCTGGTACAGCCACAATATATATATATATATATATATATATATATATATATATATATATATATATATATATATATATATATATATATATATATATATATATATATATATATATATATATATATATATATATATATATATATATATATATATATATATATATATATATATATATATATATATATATATATATATATATATATATATATATATATATATATATATATATATATACATATATATATATATATATATATATATATATATATATATATATATATATATATATATATATATATATATAATATATATATATATATATATATATATATATATATATATATATATATATATATATATATATATTTTTAAAAGATGACATCTTGTATGAGAGTATATTATATATTATTTTAAAACATCAAGAAATACAGTTTCTCTCAATACTTATAATTTCATTTTGAAAGAAATTTTCGCTGAGTTATGGATACCAGCATCATCAGCTTGTAAAGTATTACAATAATTTTTTTTTTTAAATTATTGTAATATTTTACAAGCTGATGATGCTGGTATCCATAACCCAGCGAAAATTTCTTACAAAATAAAATTATTAGTACTGAGAGAAACTGTATTTCTTGATGTTTTAAAATAATATATATATATATATATATATATATATATATATATATATATATATATATATATATATATATATATATATATATATATATATATATATATATATATATAGTTTTACCATAAATCATAGAAACGAGGCAATTTTTTGTCGACTTAAAACGCTTTTAGGTCGACAAAAAATTAATGCTGACCCTAATTCCGAGGGTTGATATATATATATATATATATATATATATATATATATATATATATATATATATATATATATATATATATATATATATATATATATATATATATATATATATATATACTACAACGACTGACAAATAGCCTGACTCGCAAGAGAGTGCTGCTACATCGACTGAGGGTTTGGTTTGGCCAGGCAGTCTATCAATTAAAAAAAAAAGTTTAATTTCTAAAACTTTTTCTGGTCTGGTTTATTAACGCGCTCTTTAAAACTACAGTTTATGGGAAATATTTTTTGATGCCACGCAAGAGACATGCAAGAGTATATATATATACATATATATATATATATATATATATATATATATATATATATATATATATATATATATATATATATATATATATATATATATATATATATATATATATATATATATATATATATATATATATATATGTATATATATATATATATATGTGTATATATACATATATATATATATATATATATACACACAACAATCATTACTACCTATACTAAATATATATATAAACAATTATTACTATCAATATATTACTATAACGTTTATTATTTTTCTCATATCCCACTATCTAACTTAATTTAATATTATTTGAAATATAAATTGAAGTTATAAATTTTTGATATCCATAACAATTTTAGTACCGTAAGATTGGGTGGCTTTCACCCTACGTAAGATTGTAATGACTTTAGCCCAAGTGAAATTTTTGTTTAAAAATGGTTTAAAATCGATACCTCAAGGTATGCCGGTTGATGTTTAGTAGCAAATTTTGGGAAATTTATTATTTATTTAGTCTAACTTAGTTTACTTAACTCGAGTCTTTTTGATATTATTGTAAATTGCACTTTAGAAGAAGCACCTAAAATTCGAATTTTTTTTGGTGTGTAAACTTTTATATCGATAGCAGTACCTGTAGAAAATTTTATTATTGGAATATACACTGAATTAATTTTAGACCACTAGTGTTTGATTCTATCTTGTTTTGAAAGCTTAACAGTTTTTACTTTTTTTGTAATTAAGGTTAAAAAAAAAATAGGTTGTCTTTGGCCCACTACATAGGGTGACATTGGCCCGGGCTAAAGTCACCCCATGTATTAGAGTAAACCTTTTTTAGTGACCATTTATAGATATTATGGTAGTTACTATGTTGAAATGAAATATTTTATAGTAGTAATGCAATAGATAATCAGTATAACAGTTTGTATTAGTAAATTAGTATAAAATTATAGTAAAATTTGTTTAGTTCTTAGTTTAAAAAGCCACAAAATTACAAGCCAAATCGTGGAAGGAGAAAATACGTTACATATACTTTAGAACAGTTAGACAATGCATTAAAAGATTTAAAGAATGGTTTAATTACTCAAAGACAAGCAGCTTTGAAATACAATATACCAAGATCAACATTAAAAAAAAAAAACAAAACAATAAAATAAAACAGACATATCCTAAAAAGTATGGTGGTCAGCAAATATTTACATCAAAAGAAGCTAATGGTGAATTGCTATAACCTTATGTTGTTTACAAAGCTGAGTCGTTATGGAATACATGGATGGAAATGGGCCACCAAAAGCACTTTATAAAAGATCAAAAAGTGGTTGGTTTGACTCAACATGTTTTGAGGACTGGTTTTTCTCTTTACTTCTTCCAAGACTTAAGAAAGGTCAAGGAAGAACTGTCATTATAGGTGATAACGTATCTTCACATTTAAGCATTGCAGTACTGGATGCATGTCAAAGAAATAACATAGGATTTGTGGCATTACCAGCAAACTCTACACATCTCACGTAGCCATTAGATGTTGCCTACTTTAGACCTTTAATTTAGAACCGATTAATTACCAACTTAAATAAACATGGGAATGATAACCTTAGAGCTGATTTTCGCAAAACTAGAATTTTTCCATTAGACAAGTCTCAAGTGCTTTCACGACTACCATGTTATAATGTAGGTTTAGACTCAACTACTGATTTAGTAAGCCAATCATTTTTAGATCATTTATGTAAGTCACTGGATGATCCCTCAGATGGTTCTAAAAAAGCAAAGCGACGTAAAGTATGTGCTTTCCCAGGTAAAAGCTTGTTCAACAGATATATCATCTTGTGTTATAAATGAAAATAATAGATTAAATTCAAATAATGTAGATACACCTATCAGTATTATCAATACAATTGAGACCAACAAAATTGACTTTGCTGGCCCAAGACTTTTGAGTTATTTATATTTAGCTAATCAATTAGTAAACTTAATAACTAATTAATTTAATAACTAATATTATTTAATGAAACTACTGAAAAATTTTATAAAAACTTTCGAAATTTTTTTTTCTGTAGTAAAATAGTAATAAAAAAAAATGAACTTAACTGGAAATGGTCACTACCAGCAGAGCAATTTTTTTTCCCCCAGTCTGAAATAGTCGATTTTATTGAGAAACCAAAGAAAATTTCGAAAAGAGGAATTTATTCAGTTCCAGAACTTTTTCACTAAATTTTTTAAAACACTATTTTTGTCATTTTTGTTTACCTAAACTGTTTTGTTTACTTGGTACCTATACTTGTTTAGTTCGTACCTATATTTTATTTACTGTATACAAGAACTTTGTTGCTAAATCTTTTTTTGTCACTTTATTTTTGTAAATTTATTTTCTTTGCCTAAATATTGTTTTTTTTATTGCTGTTTTGCTTCCCTTAGTTCCTTTTTACAGGGTTGGGCCAAAGTCACCCTACACATAGGGCGACTTTGGCCCACCATTTAAACAACCCAAAAGATACTTCAGGTAAATAATTTTCAAATGGGAGACAAATAGTTCTAACTGTCCTTTCTATACACTTCTAAAAGTACTTAGTGTTTGAGGAAATAACTTTTGTGGCTTTCATGCAATAGACATTAAGATGTAAAATGGGCCAAAGCCACCCAATCTTACGGTATCAAATTAAGATTAGGAGAATAAAAATAACAAAAAAAATTTTCAAAAAAAAAATCGTATTGAAAATGTTTCAACACAAGAAGAAACGTTTGAGTTGTTTTATACTAACAGAGCTCAATAAACAATTCATACAGCAGTTCCATAATTTTGGGCTACTTAATAAAATGTTTAAATTTTAAAACATTTGAAAAAAAATTAAATAGTCTCATCTGAGTGTTGTAAAATAAATGTTATTATCTTTAATGTAAACCCAGATTGCTATCTACAGTTTTATTATAAACCGTCTAGCATACTATAGGAGGGTAATTAAGAATTAAAACTTACATATATTGAAAAAAAAAACATGTTCATGTAACTAATGTTTACTTTGTTAAACAATGTAACCTTGTTTATGAACAGTAAAAATTTTGAAAATTTGGAATAGAGCACTTTTTGGCATTTAATGTTTGTATTTTTGTTATAATTTGAACAATAAAATTAACAATGAAATTTAATATTATTTTTATTTTTCAAAATATAACAAAAATACAAACTTTAAATGTTATAAAAAGCTGTTTTTATAATTTACAAATTAAACCAAGAAATATTAAAGTTTAAGTAAACAAAAATTGGTACTATATCTTATTAAAGCATTATTGTTTAAAATGAGTTTAAACATCTTTACAAAAGCATTGTTCTTTACGAAATTATCAAACTGTTTTTAAGTATAATTGTTTATAAATTTCTCGACAGTTTGAGAACGTTCTACAAAATTCTGGATATTTTTTGAAAGTACTAGAACATTCTCAGAACTTTTAAAAAATTCAAGTAGTTCAGGAATAATGTAGAAGTACGCTCTGTATTTAATACGTATTTATGTATGTAATATATAAATATGGTAAAACAAACAAAGTTCTTTCAAACCAACTATAAAAAATAAAAATTAGTGTTATTATATAGTAATGAAATAATAAAAATTACAAAAAAAAAAAAAAAAAAATATCGAATTAATTCTACTATAAAATAGATGATAAAATATTACTATAAAAGTCTTATGAAACATATTTAATTTTTCAAAAAATAGTTTAAAAAACCTACATACATACACACATTCATACATACATACGTACATACATATAGATATATTTGAGACAACTGTATACATTTAAATCCTTTCTTCCATCTTACAAGCTTAATCCTTATTTTTATTATCAATTTTAAAAGCACTATTTTAAAGAACTTATTTTTTTAGTGTTACATTATGATGTTTTTCCAACGGTACACTTTTAAAGGAGGCGGTATGATAAAATACATTCTTTTCATCAATGTCAAAGCTGAAGTATGGAATAGCTTGAGACAATATTTTATCAAAACGTTCTCGTAATTCAGTAAAGGTAGGTCGCTGTAATGGTTCTTTATTCCAACATTGCAACATGATATCATACCTAAATTTTAAAATAATATTTTATTCAAAAATGTTTTATACAATCATAAGAACCAAGTACAAATAAAAACCATAAATAAATTACATAGATTGCGAACAATTTGCCGGTCTTTCCATTCTGTAACCAGAATTTAAACGGGCCAAAAGGTCAGAATTATTTATTGTTGGATAAGGTGTGCCTCCTTTAATATAAACAAAATATGCAAACAAAATACACGTATAATAATAAATAATAAAAAAAATATAAATAAAAATAATATTCCATATCGACATAAACAATATAAATTTCTATATTGATATAAAAAACATTAATTTCTATATAGACTTACCTAACGTAACAATTTCAAATAAAACAACACCATACGCCCAACTAAAACATTTTAAACATATTTACAACATAATTTGAATGAGAATAAAATGGTCTCGAGGCGTTAAAAATTCAAGAAAACATTACGTAAACAATTAAAATGAATCTGAAAATAGCGTTAAAAAAAATTTACACATCACTAAATGTGGAGAAGATATGGTCATTTATAGCTTCAAGTGACATCCACTTGATTGGTAAACGAAAATGTTTATCTGCAACATACTTTAATTCATCATCGGCTTTCCGTGTCAAACCAAAATCAGATATTTTAACGTTTTTAAAACCGCCTACCAAAATATTTCTTGCGGCCAGATCTCGGTGTATTAGTTTCTTACTCGAAAGATATTCCTAAAACAAAATTGTTAATAAAATAGAAAAGAACATAAAAAAGATAAAAATAATAGTTACACTTTTACCATTCCTGATGCCACTTGCCATGCAAAACTAAGGAGATCGTCAGGTGTTATCCATTTAATATCAGGTAGTGTATTATCACCTGGTAACACTTTGATGCTGCAACTTTTATTTATTTTCTATGATGAATCAAATTATTATATAAATAAAAGAAAATAAACGTGTTATTTTAAAATATATAATTTAACTTGAAAATATATAAGTTAAGCATAATAACTTAATATAAAAACCTCAAGAGAATTTTTAAAGCTTTGGTTGTACATAAAATTTCCTGTTAACTCTCCGTGATCTTTTGATGCAAAAAGCTCAAAATAAAAAAAAAATAAAAAAAAAATTCATGCGAGTTATAATGTAAATAAATGAATGGTTAGTTTCGAAAACCAGAAAATATACTTTAAACTCACTTTAACTAGGATATATTATAAACAAATCGTACCTGTGATATCGTATAGGCGATATCATAAACATAAAAAGTACCTGACTCTCTTCTTAGGCTCCGTATCTCAATCTATTTTGTCTGGATACTTCGTTTCCAAACTTTTTTACATTAAAACTTTCTTATTTTAATTTAGCTAAAAAGAGTATCGTAGTTTGTTTACCAAAAATTGCTTTGCAATCGACCAGTAAGTGCAATCAATCTGTTGGTCACCCCAGACTTATAGTGTTAAAATGATTTTTAGATTGTGAAATATATAGCTTTTATTAGCTCACATAACTCCACTCTTTCGTTGATAATAAGGTTAAGGGTTAAATATATTAATATTATAAAAAGTACTTATAAAAAGTGTGCAAGCAAAATTATGTTTTTTATAAAAATTTGACCATATTTTATATAAATCTCATATATGAAGATTTAAAGTACCACTCCCATGAACCTCAACAAATGTATACAAAACAATAATGTATCTTACTTTGTTGCGCCTATTTCTCAAGAAATGCAACAAATCTCCATTCTCCATAAACTCAACAATTATACAAAAAGGTTTCTTAACGGTAGAACAACCAATCAAATTAAGAACATTCTTATGATATCCAATTTCTTTCATTAGATTAATTTCTTCAAGAAAGTCATTAAATTCAGATTGAGTTGCACCCTCTAAATATAAAATAAACTTGACAATACTAATCTTTTTTATTTCCCTGACTCCCACACAACAATACTTACTTCCAACAAGATTTGTTGCAAACTTAAAGCATAACCATAAAAAAATTGACTCAACTTTAAGAGAAAGAAACTTTTGACATAATGCTCTTCATCAGGTTTTGCACAGTGCTATTGGAAACATCACTTTACCTGCTGTTTTATTTAACTTTAACTTACAAATAGCTCAAAATTTTTCTATAAGTTAGATCTGCAGACAATTAAGTGGGTTTTGATCTTTAGGTATAATTTTAACGCTGTTTCTTGGATACCAGTTCTTTGTTGCTTTAGCATAGCAACAACATATTAAAACAAGGCTTACAGTTGCATTATGAGATTATATAAAAGGCAGAATATGCTTTTCAGGGCATTCCTTCCTGTAGAGTTCAGCATTTATTGCCTTTGAGGCTAAAAATTGTAGGCATTTTTGCCACAGCTACAAACTGCTTGTCAAATTATATATTTACTGTATAATGTCAACATTAAATTTTCTGGGCTAATTTTTTATTTTCAAATACCTTCTTTCTTCCATATCCTGATTTGTGATTGATGGATAAAGATTTTTTGAACATTTGAGAACCTGAGAAACAGTTGACTGACCCACTTTGGCTAGTTTAGAAGTAGTTTTAGATGATGATCCAGTATTTTCTAGGTAAATGTGCAAAGTTTTTGTTTATATTTTTTATGAAATAGAAGTACTGAGCTTTGTTTATGTTCAAAAAGTTTACTTTTTTGTATTTTTGTGTGCGTTTATATAAAGCTCCCAAAGTTGCGTCAATATTTTCATGGCTTTATATTTTTTTATCGTCCCTTACATTTGACAACCGATCAAAAATTGGAAAATAATCAAAAGTTGTCTTAAGTTATTGAAAATGCGTTTTGATAACTTGAGAGTATATTTTTGATAACTTGAGAGAATATTTTTGATAACTTGAGAGAATATCTTTGATAACTTGAGAGAATATTTTTGATAACTTGAGAGAATATTTTTGATAACTTGAGACAATATTTTTGATAACTTGAGAGAATATTTTTGATAACTTGAGAGAATATTTTTGATAACTTGAGAGAATATCTTTGATAACTTGAGACAATATTTTTGATAACTTGAGACAATATTTTTGATAACTTGAGACAATATTTAAAATATTAAACAAAAGACCCAATTATTTAATTTAATCTATTTTTATTTAATCTATTTTCATTTATTCTACTTTCATATTTTCATTAATTGATTAAGGTCTTTTACTTAAACAGATTGACTTAAACAGATAGAGAGAGAGAATTCACTTTTAGATTTATCATGGCTTAACAATCCTAGCATTATTTTAAAAGCACTTGCACTATGTAATACTATTAATAATTTAATTTTAATAGAGATATTAAAAATGTGTCAAACCTTTAATACAAAAAGATTAGAAAATTACACAATAATTAATTTAACAAGAAACCAAATGTGTCAAAAAACAGTAAAACAAAGTAAAAAAGCTGCTACCAACGACAGTTAAATATGTCTCAAACTGTTAGCAACAAACCTGATTTATATATCTTAATGTCTTCAAAAATGAATAAACATTGGCATTGAATATATCACTTAACAACTGAAAAACTTAAACAAAATAAAAAAAACAACTTTTAACTTACCTTCTAACAATTTCACAGCAACATTCGAAGTTGAATCATTCTTGAAATCAAGAAATTTTCTTTTAGGATTATCTTTATTAGCAAAAACCACTGAGTTAATTTTTCCAAAGTAGACAGTACCAAATGCCCCCTTACCAATTGCGCTGCCTAATGTTATGTTTTCAGGAAAAATCTCCCAACTATCTGATAACAATTCCTGAATATCATTTCTAAAACCATTTATATACAAATAAAATTCATTTTATACCATACAACAATATAATTATATTTTACAAAATATTATAAACTAAATTTTTAATGAACTAATAATTCAATTAACTATATGTTATAAAATATAACTAATTAAATTTTATAACATATAAAAAAAATAGCTTTTTTGTTTAAACAAAACACATAACCATTATAGATTATTGCTGAACTTAATAGTTGTAGTATTAATACTCATTCGTGCATGTTTGCACAAAACCCACGGCAGCCATTGAATCCGAAATAATAATGAGAAAGGGTCTCTCAACACTTTTTTATAAGAAAATTTGAACGAAAGTCTATGCAAATATCTAACTTATGTAAATTTTAAAATATGAAAAAAGTTTCTTAAAGGTTAACAGTTTTACTTTTCAAGCTTTCTATAAATAAGTTTAGTTTGCTTAAAGAAAAGCGGAATGTAATATGCATATATATTTAGAATACAATAAACTATAAAATTAACTCTAAAATTTTCAAATTAAAAAAAAAAAGCCAACTGATGATTTAAACTTGCCACAAGATGACCTTAATTTTTTCAAAACTAGTAAGGGACTTTTGAAAAGTGTTTTTTTATTAGGAACATAATTAAAAATTCTAATTTTATATTTAAAACAAATCATTTTACTAAATTTATTTTATTAAATGTTAAAATTACCTAATATAAAGGTAATAAGGAAATTTAGAATTTTACAACTATTTTACCACGCCCCAGTTAAACATTCTAAACCAAGTGTACAACAATGACAGAAGTTAGAAAACCAAAAAAACAAACTTTGTATAGTATTAGAAGAGTCAACTCTAATAACTTATAATGCACAAAGCATTGTAGATGTTATAATGCACGTAGTAAGTATTTGAATTTCTCATTTAACTTTCATAAATCTCTGAATCTATCTTTGAATCTCTCTATTAATATTATCATAAATATTATAATTTTGTCATTAGATATCTCGCTCTACAATTTTCATCTTTTCTCATCCAGTTACTTCCAACTCTAATAGTGGTTGCTTGCAGCCTTGTTGGAAATAAAGATGTTAAAAAAAAAAAAAAAATTAAAAAAAATTCTGTAATTTTTTGATCTGTTTTTAAAGTTACTATAGTTTAATTTTTTAATGTTTTAGTAAATAAAACATGTTCTGTTTTGTAAGTGATGTGTTGAAATTGTATCTAGACAAGCTGTTAATTTTATAAAAGCTGAAGATGAACTTATTTTAGATATAAGTAAGTTGTTATTTATTGTTTTTGTTTTTGTTAGATATTCAATCATTTTTTAAATCAGGTTAGATTTTATGAAGTTAAATTTACTAAAGACTCTTCCAAATTTACTTCTTAAAATATTAAAATGAATTTAAAAATCTGTTTGAAAAAAAAAATCTAGAAAAAGATATTATTCTGAACAATTAAAAAACAATAAAGGGAAAATAAAGAAAACATGGGGAATTATGAAAAAACTCAAATCAAATAAAAATAAAATAGTTTTTTTTTTTTTTAGTTGTTAATTCTCCAAATTTTTTTGTACAAAATGTTTAAAAATGAATAACAATATTTTGATTGTTGATTTAATTTTAGCGCCATAGCTTATCACATATTGCAGATTTTAAATTCTAATTTATCTTTATCTTCAGTTTTAAGGTTTGTATTTATCTTAATATAATGAAGTTATACATTTACTTATGGGGCTGTTTAAATAAAATGTTTTTGATTTTCTAAGTTGTTGTGAAGTTATGAGCAGCCGTGGCGCAGTGGTAGCGCACTTGCCTCAGAAACGTAAGATCCGTGGTTCAAACCCCACCTCTGGGCAAGTTTTGCGACATCGGTTGGGAAGGAGGCGCGAACTTCCTATTAAATGCTCTTCCGCGGTGCTCTGTGATAAGACCGTAAGGACTTCTTGGGGCACCTTAATCTACTTAAAAATAAAAATTAAAAAAAGAAGTTGCAGTTTGTATTTTTCTGTCATGGCCAATGACACAGGTTTCAAAGTGGAAGGGCACAATCGCTAATTTCTGAAAAAAGTCCTCTATATCTAGAATAGGCAATAAGATTTCCCCTCAATTTATTAAACGAAAAGGATTAAACCAAAAGTGAAGTGGGAGAAGTAAGAGTGGGCATTGGAAAATACTTAACTACATCTACAAATAGAAGAAGTATTTTAATGTTTTTAGTTTAATATGTATATTTTTATTGATCTATTTTTTAAATTTTGTTTGTAAATAATTGATAATTTGTTAAAAAATACCCCGAATTTTTTCTTTTAAAAATAATTTAAATTAATATTAAATTATGTTTACAAAAAAATTTTGTCGAAAAGTTATACATTTTGTTTTTACACTAAACACCATCAAAATTCAAGTCAACAGAACAAAATAATAAAATGATTTGAGAGCTGCTGTGACTGTTTATAATTCTCCATGTCAAAATATATATTGTCATTTAAATTTTGTGAATATTTTAAATTGCAGTTACAACTTTTATAATAATCAACAGTTATCACGGAGTTAGGTATTTATAGGTATCTTGTAAGTACTTACAATATGAAAGAAATTAAAAATCAATTTTTCACTGTGTATCATACTTATAAAAAAAGTAACATTTTACTAAGTTTCATTTTTTATTTTATTTTTTTGTTTGTTTTTATAACTTTACTTTTATTATCTCGTGATGGAACTTTTCATGTTTAACTGCAAATATTATGTACTACAAACATTTTAAAATTAGTTTTTATTCTATTTCTTTAGTTCTATCATATGTTTACTTTGTCTACTGTTAAAATATGGTTTTAACTTAGTAAACTTGAATTATTTTAAACTTACTACATTGATCATTAGCTAATAGCTTAAAAAGAAATTAGTTTCTTGCAATCAAGTTAAGAATAATTTTATTTTCTGGTGGAATTACAAAATTTGTTTGCACCGATAGCAATTATGTTTTTGTTATTTTGTGTAATAGCTAATTGTCTTTTCTTACAGATTTTGATTATTTTAAACAATGCTCTAGAAAAAACATCAGCAACAGGCAAATTGGTTTGTAGTGTTAATCTTTAATGTTTTTACTTCTTTTATCATGTCTTAATTTTTTTTTTCATTTGAGACATATCTTATAATGCTTTTTCATCATTTTGCAGAACAAATGGAGGGCCCACATCTCATAAAACACATAAGGGGTAGGCTTAAATTAGGACAAAATCTCCCTCCCCCACCTTTATATTTAATTTAATATAGTGTTTGGATCCTGTAGAAAGTAAAGTATGAGCAGAGAGAGCGGTGGGAAAACAAAATGCTGCATCTATTATTAGTATTTATGTAGTTGGTTAATCTAACAATTTACTAATAATGTAAATTTAGTTAAATTTTTTTTACAAACATACGCTTTTTTTATATATTTTGTTTTGTTATTATGTATAAATAAATTGATTTCGAGTTAATGCATTAATGTTAATGTTAATGTATTTAAGTTAAGTTAATTTCCTTTTTTTAATTATGTTACTTTTTTTAGATTAACCTGATGATGTTTTTGTTCAATATAGACATACAATTTTAAAACTATTGAAAATTGTTTAGTTTAGTTAATTTATTAATAAATATGTAAATAAAAATAAATTCAATTTTACAAAGCTATTAGGCATTTTTTTTAAACAACAGTTTGTAATGATTTGTATCAGGTAACCAATAAAGTTCGCGCGGTTTTGCAGGTCCATAAATAAATACACACAAAAAAAAACGGTTTTAGGAAAGTTTATTCTGAAAAATAGTCTCCTTCAGCAAGAATGACTTTCTCCCATCGAGAAACAAGCTTGCACATTCCATTTTTATAAAAGTCTTGAGTTTGGGAGCTGAAAAATTGATTCAACTCATTTTCGAGATCTTCTCTATTTTGAAACTGCCGATTCCTCATATAATTATCCAGGGCCAAAAATAGGTGATAGTTGCTTGGGGCAAGGTCTAGTGATTACGGAGGGTGAGGTAGAATCTCCCATTGTAAACATGCTAGAGTTTCCTGTGTGATTTTTGCGGTGTTCGGTCTGGCGTTGTCCTGGTGGAATACAACACCTTTTCTGTTTGCCAAAACTGCTTGTTTTTGGTGAAGAGCAACCAAAACTCTGTCCAATTGGGCTGAGTATATCTCAGCACTAATGGTTTGTCCACTTGATAGCAACTTATAGTGAACGATACCTGCTGTAGTCCACCATACACACAGTAAAACCTTTTGTTGGTGAATATGTGGTTTAGGAGTCATCGGTACTGGATTGCTACTGGCTAACCAAGGATATGTTCGTTTTTTGTTGCAGTACATAATCTATTTTTCGTTGCACGTCAACATCCGGTCAAAAAATGGCACTAAATTGTGGCGGGAAAGCAATGAAGAACAGATGGTTAAGCACTGTAGCTTGTTTGTTTCACTCAACTCATAAGGTACCCATTTGCTCAACTTCCAATGTTTTCCAAGTTGGTGCAAATGTGAATGAATAGTTTCATCACTCACATTAAATCTTAAGGCAAGGTCCTGACATGTTTGGCTGGAGTCCTGCTTGATTGCCAGCTTGATATCCACGTTGTTGACAGTCGATGGTCTTCCAGATCTTGTTTCATCTTCAAGGTTTTTATTTCCAGAAGAAAATTTTTTGAATGACTTTTGACCTGTCTGCTCTGCTATGGTATCTTCCCCAAAAGCAGCGCATATCTTACAACAAGCTTCTGCAGCTTTGGTGCAGAAAATTTACAGATTTACTGTTACTTCAAAATTTTATTGCGGCAATATCTCCTTAATTTAGATTTATAGCATTTATATGCTGTTTCATAAAGTTTAATAAGTAAATAATAAGTCTTTTGTTTATTAAACAGTGTTAAAAGATGATATTAGAGCATGCCAAAGTGGTTTAAGTGCTTCGTGTTGGTTCAAATTCTTTTGTTTATAGACTATATATTATATATATATATATATATATATATATATATATATATATATATATATATATATATATATATATATATATATATATATATATATATATATATATATATATATATATATATATATATATATATTCCAATTTTCTAGAATACAAAGAAAAACATTTTTAAAGGCCTATAGATATTATATGCATAACATATATAAAGATATTTTATACTATAATAAATGAATAGGAGAGAATTTTTTAAAAAGCTTTTTTAAAACTTCCCAAAATATTAAAAAACTTTAAAAATTTATAAAAACATAACACCATTAAAAGTTTGTTGCGCATGTCATGATAGAGATACTTAAGTTATTAATGTGCTTAATTAATAATTAGTTTTTTTAATAAGTCTGTACATTAAAAAGACAACTTTCTTTCTTAAAGAAAAAAGATTTTACATGCAAACTTTTACAAAAATTTACAGAAGTTATAAAGTATCAAAACATTAATTGTTAACTCAAAACAAAGATTTTTATATTTTTCCTATTTTTAAAAATTATTGAAATAAAGCAAAAGTATTAAAATTATTGGTGTGGAATAGACTTACCATGACCAGTATTATATGGGTCATGGTAAGTCCATTGTTCCACATATTTAAGTCACCTCATGTTTTTTGAAACTTTTTATACTGATGGTAATTAATTAACACATTTCAAGCGGGTATTCTAATTATTATTTAAACTGGTACTACATCCAATCTGTTGATAAACAACGATTCGTGTAGCGTCTACCTAAACACTTAAAGTTTTTTTAAGCTATTTATAAAAGAAAATTTTTTTTTTATAGCTTTAAAAAGTAAACAACAAGTATAGTTTTTTTAATATGTATGTAGTTATTTTTCTACCTCTTACTAAAAAATATTGAAGTAAGAATTAAGTATAGAAAAGGTCGGTGTGAAATAGATTCCCAAGTCTGTTATTTTACATGTCACAACAGCTAGTAATATATAATATAATAAACATACTAAGCATACCTAAAAAAACAATAAAACATTAACAAACTAAAAGAAGAGTTTGCTATTTCTTTAATTATTTAAATGAAATTTTAAGAACTATACACAACTTTTTTTTACTATAAAAAAAAAAAATGTACAAAATCACTAAAAGCACATACAGAGTCTTTCTGTTGCTCTTTCATAAGAAAAAACTATAGTGTAGAAAAAAATGATTTTTTTTCAGGTGGCATTTTTGTTATATATATTAGGAATTAAAAGTGCAAAAAATCAACTGGATAAGAATAGATTTATATAATATAAATTATGAATAAACAACTAATTTATATTTTAAATTAAAACCTCATAAACAACAAATGAAAATATTATTAACTTTTATAACTTTTAATATATGATAAATTTTTATTTAATTTTATTAATTATTTTAGTAATAAATACTAATAGCATTACTAAAATTTTTATCCAGTTAAAATATTAAAATATAATATATTTAAATTAAAATGAAATAAAAAGTTATAAAATTAGAAACAATTTTAATAGTCTTTTTTTAATTTTAAAATCTTCTCATAAAAATAAATATAAATAAATATATAAAAATACATAATAAATATATAATGATGAACTCTGTTGATGATTTTTTTTATATAGATACTTTGTACTTTAAAATAATTTTAACTGAAAACAGGAACTCAATTCTTTAACATTTAGTTTTATGCAATTAAAATTACTGTAGATATTGGAAGATTTTATAAGCTTTTTAATATCAAATCTAGTAAAATTTTAAAAACACAATATTATCAGCATAAGTTGCAACACTAATGAAGTTACTATCTATTAATGTACCAACAATACTTTGATAAGAATGTAAATTACAAAGTTAATCAATGAGAATGATGTGAAAGTTGATTTTACATAGACTACTTTACCTAACTTAAGAAAACATAAAAATGATGTAAGACAATTTTACTGCTGATACATTATTAAAGATATAGTGTTACTGAACTATATAAAAGTGCATACTTTATTAAGTAGAACATCACAATTACAACTACCACTTGCTTATTCATGTTTTCTTGATGTCTTGGTGTCTAAAGAACATAGAAATAAAGAGGAGTTGTTGAAACTGTAATGTTTTTTTGTTAGATACATCTTTTATAATGGACTCTTAATGTTTGATTCCCTGTGTTCACACAGAAACCTTGAATCATTAAAATCTTTGTAATGTTTGATTTAATAACAATTGAAATTACATGTAAAAGTTGTGTAATGTTTATTGCTTTTTTTTTATTGTTCTTTATGCTTCTTTACCAAGTTTGCATCCATTATAAATTATAGGTTTTATTTTGACTTTTAGTGGTTACCAGCAGTTGTCTATATTGTAAAAACATTTTACTAAAATGTTTTTACATAAAAAAAAAAAAAAAAAAACAATTTCTTCTTTTATTTGGTACTGGTATATACATATCAGTATTTATTAGTGCATTAAAGATTAGTATAGTCAGCAAAATGATTAACAATCAAATTATTTATAGAGTGAGATAAAACTTATGCCAAATTATTCCTATACTAGTTTGTAGTTATGCTGATTTTTTCAACTGCTTTGCATGTATGCCAGTTTGCACCTATGCAGGTTTGCACTTACGCCAGTTCGCTCTTTCACACTTATGCCAGTTCACTTTATTGCCAGTTAGCACTTGCGCAGATTTGCAGTTATAAAGTTCTCGCACTTATGCGGTTACTCCAACAATACATAGTTGAATAGTAAAACGCGAGGTTATCACAAAAAAAGGAGCAATCTAATAAAAAAGTATTGCGTAGTACCTAGAATTGATGAAAAGATAGATACTAGTTGTCCTATCAAATTTCAAAAAAAATTTTAATCTATTCATCTTGCAACAAACCAGTACATAAATTATACATAACATAAACAACATACTCATACCTCACATTGTTTAAGGTTTTTGTTGTTTATTATAAAAAAATTTATAGAAATAGTTTTGAAAAACTCTATAAAAAATATCTATAAAAATATGTAATATTTATACTAACTTTTTTTTGTAAGCCCACAACAGCCTGTGCGATTTAAATTTTTTCAAACGCCTTCTTTTTAACCTTACAACAACAACAACAATAAAAACAACTATTACAGTAATTGATGTCACAACAATTATGATAACTGATAATGACAACTGCTTTCCTAAATAAAAAAATTAATTTCTAATTTCATAAACTTGATAAAATAAATAACAAAAATAAAAAATAAAAAATAAATAAAAAAATAATAGAGTTGCACAAAAAAAAAAAAAAAACAATATCAAAAAATAAAAAAATTTGCAACTAAAAATGAATTAGATCACGAACACAGATGGTATATTATATACACACTACATTATGTAATAAAGTATTATATATAAATTAAAATATTATATATAAAATAAAATATATATAAAATAAAATATAATATCAAAAGGTTCTTTAAATAAACCATACTAATTTTGCTATAGAAGAATGAGTTACCAAATTAAATAGAAATCAAATTAAAAATTTGTCATAAAATGAAAAAATAAGAGCAGAATAAATTACAAATTAAATTTTTTTTAAAAATGCTACCAAATACAAGTAAAAATGTCACCAAAAACAAGTAAAAATATTTTAGTTTTATTTTTATATAATTTATGACATTGATTATAGATTTAAAATGTTTTTTGTGCTGACTTAAAAAGTTTTGTGAATATTGATGGTAACCATATGGTTATATGGAGAATTTAAGAAATAAACATAAATATCATAAATGGGAAAGCTTATTTAAATAAAAACTAAAAACTTGTGAAAATGAAATATAAAAAAACAAGTTGTTCATATATAGCAGAAATGTCATCTCTAATTGGCATCGTACCAGTTTTGAAAGGTAGGCTGGTATGCACCCAGTACTATCAAATCAAGCATAGTTAGCTTTCAAATGAAGTTTTCTTTGTTTTCTTTGTAATTTTGAAATTCAGCTTTAGATTTTTTTTTTAAGATCAACAAATCACGGCAGTCATTACACAAATCACGGCAGTCATTACACAAATCACAGCAGTCATTACACCTTTATAGTCAGAAAGAGTCACAGCACATTTTTTATAAGATAATGTAAACAAAAGTGTATGCAAATATCTAACTTAAGTTTACTTCAATTATGCTATGTTAAAATTTATATCAAGTTGTACAATTTTACTTTTACTTGAAAATTGCATTGAAGCTCCTTAATTTTATCTCCTTAATTTTTATTAAATCTCCTTAACTATTACAGCATTTATTTACTGTTTTAAAAAGTTATATTGTCTTTTGCTTAATAAATAGTATTAAAAATTATAAATTTAGCATTTAAAATTTTAGCCTTAATGACTTTTTTTTGCTTGGTCCATTAAACCTAAACATACCTTAAATGCATTTTATATTTTTTTACAACAATTTTCCATTATAAGTTTGCAACATTCCAATTGGAAGGAAATTCATTCTTTTTGGTGGCTTTTAGACAAATACTACCTGTTGCAAAAAAAGGGCTGAGTTTGTAGAAGTATATTAAAAATGTTCATTACATAGGAAATAGTTGCAAAAGTTTGCATTAACTAAAAATGTGAGAGTACATGATGGGGAAGGATAAAATAAAAGAAAATAACTTACCAACTCAGTTTTTAAACAGTTTAATTCCTACTAGTGCGGCTCTTCATTGTTTAAAATTTGAAATTGGTTGTGTAATTAAGTCAATTGTTTGAAGGAGTTAGTGTATATATATAAACAAAAAATTGCTAATGTTCTTAAATTTATTAACTTATTTGAACATTATTTTATTGTATTATTTAACCAAATTAGTAAGAGACTCATAAATTTCATGATTTTAATAAGTAATAATACTGTTCAAAAAATTGAATATAAAATTCCAAAAGTTGGATTAATGAAATGACATAACTTTTGAATAGATTAATAAATGATATACAAACTATGTTTCATTTTCAAATATACTTAATTTATTAATGATTATTGTTTTACCATTAAACATATCATTTTTAACAAAAAGATTATTATATAAAGATTAGATATAAAGGTAATTTTTTTACTGGAAACCCAATTTTTGTTTATTGCTATTATAACTGATTTTAAAAAGGTATTTATGTTATAATCTATAAACTAGCCAAGCAAGTGACCTAAAGTATATTGAGTTAGACTGCTATGTTAGCTATATAATACTCAAACTTTCTAAAATACTCAACCTACTTTAGAGTATTTTAGAATAAATAATAAGTGAGAGGTGTGCATTAGACTTATCATGACCCATATTATGGGTCCAGAAAACTTTATTTAAACATTAATCATTAACTGAAAACAAAGATTTTGATTTTCTACCATTTACTAAAAATAATTGAAATAAAACAACTATATGTATACAACTGTATATAGAAATACAAAAATACTATGACCTGTATGATACAGGTCATGATACAGGTCATGATAAGTCCACACTGAATAATTAAATCATTTATTTCAGAAAAAAATCAAGTGACATTTCTTTTCAAAAACAGTATTTTTATAAATTATGAAAGGTCAACTTCATTATGCTACTGATACTCAGAATATTAAGTACATTTTTTTATATTAAAAAAAAGTGAGTTAAGAAGTCATTGTATTGCAAAACAAAATTCTATTTGTTTTTAAAAATTTTATCAAGTAAACACTTGCTTAACAAAATTGTTTCTTTTTGTTAAAAGTGGTGCACAATCAATATTTTTATGTATGTTCAATATTATAGGAGATTTTTTAAATGATTTAAATTGACTAGGAAAACTACCTTAGCTCTGTGTTCACGGTTAGCACGGATCCTTATAATGCCTACCTAGCTGTCCCAAGAACACCACTTATACGGAAAGTTAGGGTACACATCAAGGTACCCTGTGATGCATATTTTGAAATCATTCAATTTTGTCCGCAGAAAATAATTTAATTTGAATGTTCAAAGTAAGTCAAATTTTGACTTCATAGTGCACCAATAAAAACACTTGAATTTGAACCACTCAATATAATTTGATAAAAATCGTTACAAATGTAGCCAATAGTCACACCAAACTCTGGACAAAATTTCAGCCTAATTAGATGACTGGTGTAGGATTTATTGCAGTTTTAGTTGAAGTTTTGTTGCTAGTTTTTTGCTACTTATACCTCAAAGCATTACTGATTACTTTGAAATTCGATCACTATTATTAAAATAACGGTTACATGAGTGTTCTACATGTAATACCAACAATTTTTGTTATAATTATTTTATCGGTACATGTACAGTTTTCATTTTATTGACCAAAATAGTGATTTGCTACTTAAAGCGTGATTTGAGTTGGCTAATGCCAATGGTGTTGACACAGCCTTCAAAGTGGAGGGGGTCAACTCCTCAATTTCTAAAATAAAATCCATAATTTCTGAAATATTTGCCTATATTTCTAAAACAAAAGGTCCTCGCAAAAAAAATGTGGGCAGGCCATGGCTCCCTTGATGGCTATGTATGCACAGCGTGAATATACTAACATTTCCTAAGGTATAAACTACTGCCAGAATGCAAAAAATTCTAAAAAAATGGTTAAGAAGGATTTCTAGGGATACCTACATAGAAAATAAAAATATTTATTTATCTGAAAACAGAACAACTGTGAAAAAACCAAATATTTTTTATATTAACAAAGATAATTGACTTTAAAAATTTAGATAAGTTAACTAAGATATCTGACCAATACAAAGTTTGAAGGGCCAGTCGGAGGAAAATTACTCTAACTGAATAACTAATTAGATTGAAGGGTTGTTTTGAAATAAAAAAAACCGTGTGACAACTATCATTAGTTTAATAAGTGTGACAATTATCAATAATGTAATTTCCTCACAAGTAAATAGTTTAAACAATTGTTTCCTGGTAAGGAAAGAACTATTCAAAAAATATTTCCTTGTAATTTAATACTACCTCAAGTAAATACTTCTCTTACTTAAATAGTTTTTAATTAATAATATGTGTTACTATGTTAAGTGGATTGTTATCAAATATAAATATAGGTCAAATTTTGTAAAAGGCAGAGTTTGATTTAGTGAAGTCAAATTTAGTGAATTGCCACAATGCCAAATCAAGCAAATAATCATGATGAAAATCAAAAGTTTGTGTGCTTGCTCTGACTGAAAAAGTGTTTAAGACAGCTTACTACTTTTCAAACAGATTGAATATGCCAACTGTACAAGACTAAGATCAATATCAGTGTTACTCGGGTACCAAAAGGATTCTACAAGTCGCGGGGTAAAGCATAAGTGGCAATGACGTTTGTCTGACGGGATAAACTAGTTATAAATGCTGATCCTCATCGAAACGCCAGTAATAATAGACGCGACTCTGAGGAGATGTTTATTACTTATCACTACACTAATTATGTTTACACATTAGCATTAATATTTTTTTTCCATTATTAGTCCTTTCATTGTTGTTAGCATATTTTTAATTTGTTGAATGGTTTTTTGTTTTACAAATTGTTGACTGGTTATGTATTTCTTGTATATTTTAGTTCATATTGGTATTTATAAAACAATTTTTTAATTTTTTATTTATATATATATATATATATATATTTTATTATTGTTTGTTTTTATTTTTTTTTAATTTTTATTTTTATTATTTTTTTTTTTTATTGTTATTATGGTTGAGTACTGTTTTGGTTGTATAGCTTGTCTTACTTATTTTTAAATATTCCTCTATTAATCTTTATTTTTGTCTTGACAACTGTCAAAATATGCTTTGTCTAATAAATAATTCTCCTTTATTCTAATGTACTTCATTTCTTCCCTCAGGCGTTCACTGCTCGTGTGTGACCATTCGGCGAATTTTATATGCCAAAGTTTTTAAATAATTAATAATATGTGTTACTATGTTAAGTGGATTGTTATCAAATATAAATATAGGTCAAATTTTGTAAAAGGCAGAGTTTGATTTAGTGAAGTCAAATTTAGTGAATTGCCACAATGCCAAATCAAGCAAATAATCATGATGAAAATCAAAAGTTTGTGTGCTTGCTCTGACTGAAAAAGTGTTTAAGACAGCTTACTACTTTTCAAACAGATTGAATATGCCAACTGTACAAGACTAAGATCAATATCAGTGTTACTCGGGTACCAAAAGGATTCTACAAATCATGT